GCAGTCCCAACTACTCAGGAGGCTGAGGCAGAAGAATCGCTTGAACGTGGGAGGCGAAGGTTGCAGTGTGCTGAGATTGTGCCACTGCACTCCAGCCTCGGCGACAGAGTGAAACCCTGTCTCAAAAAAAAAAAAAAATTACCCAGGTGTGGTGGTACACACCTGTACCACCTGAAGAGCTGTACCCAGGCTATTCAGGAGGCTGAGGTGGGAGGATCACTTGAGCCCAGGAGGTCGAGGCTGCAGCAAGCTATGATCGTGCCTTTTAGTCAGTCACTGCCCTTCTGCAAAGGCAACATAGCAAGACCCTGTCTCTTAAAAAAAAAAGTAAATTCAGGCCAGGTGCAGTAGCTTAAGCCTGTAATCCTAGCACTTTGGGGGGCCGAGGCGGGTGGATCATGAGGTCAGGAGATACAGACCGTCCTAACATGGTCTCTACTAAAAACACAAAAAAAATTAGCTGGGCGCGGTAGCGGGCACCTGTAGTCCCGCCTACTTGGGAGGCTGAGGCAGGACAATTGCTTGAACCCGGGAGGTAGAGGTTGAAGTGAGCCAAGATCGTGCCACTGCATTCCAGCCTGGGTGACAGAGCGAGACTCCGTCTCAAAAAAAAAAAAAAAAAAAAAAAGGTGCAGTTCATTACAAAGGTGCGTCAGGGGTTCATGAGACCTGGTTCATTCTCTGGGAGGACTCCCACAACTCACCAGGTAGTCACTGCAATGACTCATTACAGAGACAGGACACAGGGCAAAGTCAGCAAAGGGGAAGGTGCAGGGGAGGCCGGGCTCGGTGGCTCACGCCTGTCATCCCAGCACTTTGGGAGGCCGAAGCGAGTGATCACGAGGTTAGGATTCGAGACCAGCCTGGCCAACATGGAGAAACCCCGTCTCTACTAAAATACAAAAAATTACCCAGGTGTGGTGGCGTGCGCCTCTGGTCCCAGCTACTCGGGAGGCTGAGGCAGGGGAGCTGCTTGAACCAAGAGGCGGAGGTTGCAGTGAGCCGAGATCGCACCGCTGAACTCCAGCCTGGGTGACAGAGCAAGGCTCCCCCTCAAAAAAGTAAAAATAAAAATTAATGAATAATCAATGGTAGGGTCAAGCCCTTCAGGGTTGTGGGGTGTCCCGTAATGCTGTGCTGAGGCGCAGGATCTGAGAAGTAAAGAGAACACAGAAGAACTGGGAAAGACAGCTGGGCTCAGGGGGCCCCGCAACCTATTAACGGAGACAGGCGAGGCCCCGAACATCCAGGGGCGTCTGTATTTATTGGGTATAGGTTAGGGGGCAGGGTTGTGAGCGAGGTCATCTTAAGGATAGTGATAGGGTCAATACAGTCACGTGAGCAATAAGCAAGGGGTCCACCCCCCACTAGGTCACCTAGGCTAGGAGGTGGGCCGTGCACAGTGAAAACGGTGCCGTGGGCAATATCTCTTGTCTAGGGGCAGGCCACTTCTAAGGAGTTCTGCAGGAGGATGCTCTCCAGTCAGCACAGTGGCAGAGCTGACCAGGTCTACAGCCACCTACCGGCAGCTTCCAGTGATTTCTACAGGAGGATGACCTGAGTCAGCACAGTAGCTAGAGAGCTGACGAGTTGGACAGTCACCAAGGCGCGGTTGTACCGGAGGGGTTTTGAGCCCTCAGAGGCTCTCAGGAGTGCCGGTCTGAGGGCAGCCCTCCACAGGAACTGGACGCAAGGCCCTACAACTCCTTTACCGGGAGGAGAGGCGCTTGCCCCAAGCCTGCCACACAGCGGGTGTCTTTACGATACTGAACGCCACCTCCCGGGCCGTGGATTGTTGTCCTGGTGTAACTGTTTTTCCCTTAAATCATGCTCTGCACCGTGACTGCTCTAGGCATTCCTCCGACTATAAGCAAGATACGCTTATATGTGTGTAGCTGTTTATCCCTTAACTCATGCTCTGTACTGTGTCTGCTGTAGGCATTCCTGCAACTATGAACTGAGATATAATTGTGTATATAGGGAAATAACTGAGTTGTAGGATATTCTTCGGGCAGTAATTCTACAAACTAATATATGATTATATAGAAAGGGTTATATAAAGGAAACCACTGAGTGATGACACTATAAGGTATCTTCAGGCACTAATTGTGCCGTGGATCTGCTTAGCTCTCCTTCCTCGGTGTCCAGATCGGGGGTTACCTATAATAAATAAATAAATAAATCACAATTTATATAATGGTTGAAAAAGCATAATTAACCAAAGAGTGGGAGACAGAGGAATGGGGCTCCCCAAGTCGACCCGGGCTTGGTGAGCACTCGGGACAACGGTGAGCTGATAACTGGTGGTTTCTGGTGGGCTTCGCGAGTCCGTGGGCTCCCGGGCTGCAGGCTCTCATGTCAGTGACCCTGCGTCCCACAAGTATCTCAGGGCCAGCCCGCCTCCCTGGTCCACTGCCTGCAACCTCTTAGCTCCATCAAAGCATGAGCACCCGGCAGGACATCCCTGCTTCGGAGGTTGTTTTCTCCGTCATTTTAAAAGGAGACCCAGTTCTAAGAGCAAATGACTAGGAGGAGTGGGTCCCTAGGCTCTGGCCTGGAGTGGCTGCAGGAGGAGCCACACCTTGTCCCTTGCAGCCCTGGCAGCTGTGGGTGCACATGGGTGCCTGAGGGAGAGGCCGTGGCCGGTGCGCCCCCTGGTTGCGCCATGCAGAATCGTTCTGAATTTCTGAGGCCACATCCTGGATGCCAATGGTATGTATGTATGTATGTATTTACTTGAGATGGAGTCTTGCTGTGTCGCCCAGGCTGGAGTGCAGTGGCGCGATCTTGGCTCACTGCAACCTCCAACTCCCAGGTTCAAGCAATTCTCCAGCCTCAACCTCCCGAGTATTTGGAGTATAGGCGCGCACCACCACGCCCGGCTAATTTTTGTATTTTTAGTAGAGACAGGGTTTCACCATGTTGGCCAGGCTGGTCTCGATACCATAGTAAGACCGGAGGGAGGGGAAGGAGGGAAGGGAGGGAGGGAAGGAGGGAGGGGAGGGAGGGAAGGGAGGAAGAGAGGCACATATACCCCTGAATCTAAAATTTAAAAATAGGCCAGGTGCAGCTTCTCCTCCTCTGTACTGTGAACATTTGAGGCTGAAGTGTTCTCTGGGGAGGGGCCATCTTGGGCACTGCGGAGGGCTGAGCAGCGTCCCTGGCCTCCACCCACTCCATGCCAGGAGCACCCTCCCCGACCCCACCCCAGTCATGACAACCACAGATGTCCCCAGACATCATCACCCTATGTCCCAGGGAGGACAACTGCCCCCACTAAGAAGCACTGATCCAGCAAGAGAGAAAAACACTGCCCCCAGCACTTTGGGAGGCAGAGGTGGGCGGATCACCTGAGGTCAGGAGTTCGAGACCAGCCTGACCAATGTGGTGAAACCCCATCTCTACTAAAAATACAAAAATTAGCCGGGCATGGTGGTGCGTGCCTGTAATCCCAGCTACGTCGGAGGCTGAGGCAGGAGAATCAGTTGAACCCGGGAGGCGGAGGTTGCAGCGAGCCGAGATCGCACTCCAGCCTGGGTAACAAGAGTGAGGTGCCGTCCCAAAAAAAAGAAAAAGAGAAAAGCACTATTTGCTTCCTCCTTGTGGCTTCCTGGGACTTACTCTGGAGGGGTTTGCAATGTGGCCCTTGCAGGGTCAGGCTATGCAGGAATGGTGCCCCAGGCGTGTAGAGTCGCAGACAGCGAGTCTTCATAATTCTGTAAACTTCGAGGTTCAACCTACTCCAGGAGCCCCGAGTCACGACTTACACGAAACCCAAGTTTAATTACCATTTGTTTGCTCCGTGTAATATTCAGAAATACCCTATTTTTCATTTGTGTGGGATCAAGCAGTCATTGTCTACGACACGCTTCTCACCAAGCTGCACGGAGAAGCCGCTGGCTCTGGGAGGTGACAGCACCCCACCCCCACCCCCTCTTCTCCACCCCGTGGTGATTCCAAAACAGAAACTTTCTGCAGGTCTCTCGAACGCTTGGGCTGGGTTCTGGGTAAGGTGGGAGGAGGCTGTGCAGGCTTTCCCGGTGATGGAGGCCAGATGGGAGGAAGTGAGCCGAGGTCGTCTACGGAGACTGAAGGGCGTGCCGGCTACAGGTGGGATACTCAGCGCCTGTGACAGCGTCCACAGGTGTGTCCCAGAGTGGGATTCTCCAAACGGGCATTGCCATCACCTGGGCTGCCTGTCTACAACGCAGATCCGGCCGGGTGCAGTGCCTCACGCCTGGAATCCCAGCACTTTGTAAGGCCGAGGCAGGCGGATCACCTGAGGTCAGTTCAAGGCCAGCCTGGCCCACATAGTGAAACCCCATCTCTACCCAAAATACAAAAATTAGCCAGGTGTGGTGGTGCACACCTGTAATCACAGCTACGCCGGAGGCTGAGGCTGGAGAATTGCTCGAACCTGGGAGGCGGAGGTTGCAGTGAGCCGAGATCACACCAGTGCACTCCAGCCTGGGTAACAAGAGCAAAACTCCATCCCAAAAATAAAATGCAGGCCGGGCGCTGGGGCTCACGCTTGTAATCCTAGCACTTTGTGAGGCCGGGGTGGGTGGATCACCTGAGGTCCAGCTACTCAGGAGGCGGAGGCAGGAGAATCGCCTGAACCCGGGAGGTGGAGGTTGCAGTGAGCCGAGATTGTGCCACTGCACTCCAGCCTGGGTGACAGGGCAAGACTCCGTCTCAAAAAATAAATAAATAAAAAACAATGCAGATCCGATGGGAGTGGAGGGTGCAGGCTAAATATATGAGGCAGGTCACAGAAGGACCACTGGGTCTTAAGGTTTGGTGGGCATCAGAGTCACCCAGAAGGCCTGATGAACACACTACTGGGGCCCACCCAGGTGTGTCTGATTTTTTTTTCTCTTGAGATGGGTGTCACTCACTGTATCGCCCAGGCTGGAGTGCACTGTTGCCACCTTGATTCACTGCAACCTCCGCCTCCCGGGTTCAGGTGATTCTCTACCACGGCCTCCTAAGTAGCTGGGATTAGAGGCATGTACCACCACACCTGGCTAATTTTTGCATTTTTAGTAGAGATGGGGTATCATCATGTTGGTCAGGCTGGTCTTGAACTCCCGACTTCTAGTGATCCATCCGCCTGGGCCTCCCAAAGTGTTGGGATTACAGGCGGGAACCTGGCTATAACTTATTTTTGAGACAGAGTCCTGCTCCTTTGGCCAGGCTGGAGTGCAGTGGTGCAATCATGGCTCACTACAACCTCCACTTCCCAGGCTCCAGTGATCCTTCTGTCTCAGTCTCCTGAGTAGCTGGGACTACAGGCACCCGCCACCAAGCCTGCCAAATTTTTTTGTATTTTCAGTAGAGAACGGGTTTCATCATGTTGGTCAGGCCAGTCTCGAACTGCTGACTTCAAGTGGTCTGCCCGCCTCAGCCTACCAAAGAGCTGGGATTACAGGCCTGAGCCACCGCGCCCGGCCCAGGGAGCACTTTCTCCGTCCACAACAAAACCCTGTGCAGCAGCCTTGGGTTGGGGCCGGGACAGGCCAGCTTTCTAGGCTCCTTCCTGCCTGGGAGAGCCGTTGTAAAAGGGAGGTGCCTTTGGTTACAGAATTTCTGGTGTTATCACATGCAAAAAAAGCAACCAACAATACGGTCACACTCTGCTGAGGACCAACGCATCTCACCTGACCCAGGAGGGACCCTCTGCACCGTGATGCAGCTGGGGGCGGAAGCCGAGGGAAGAGGGGAGAGTAGAGGATGGCCGTCTGGAACCTCCTGGGACCGGTGACCCAGGAAGTACAGCTCCAGGCATCGAGGGGATTTACTCACAACCAGCCCAGCTGATTTGCAAAGTCCGCTTCAGGCGTTTTCTCAAAGTCTGGGGTTGCGGGGGATAGGTGGCGCCAAGGTCAACGTGGAGACGGACAGAGGTCACAACGCCTATTTATTTCCCACACGTCACGCCCTGCACCCGATGGGCTCGGCACACGCCTCACCGCCGTGAGGGGCTGCAGAGCCACGGGGGCCCCGTTCCTACTGTTACCTACGACACACGGTACTGCGCCTACCTCGCAGACGGCCAAGACCCAGGGATCCCCAGGATGCTCCGACTGCCAACCCTGCTGCTGGGACCGCAGCGCCGTGGGCTCACCTGCCACCCCCAGGCCCCAGGAGCCAAGGCAGGCCCCCCACTGTCTGGCTCACAGCTGCTCTCCTGGTGGCTGTTTTAGGGCCAAGGTGGGTGGCACCAGAGGTGCCCCGTGGCCTCGACCTGGAACTGGAGGGATGAGCTTCCAGGTGGGCCCTGGGCCTGTGAAACACCCAGGATGGAAGGACAGCAGGATGGGACACAGACAGAAATGGCCCAGCTGCCTTCCCTGTGCCCGCGGCTAAGGCAGCCGGGACAGAAGGTCATGATGACACTCGTGGCTCTCAGTCTCGAGGACTGGAAAATGAGGGTGGGCGGAGGGGAACGCGTGTCTGCCCACACGCGCACCTGGAGAAAGTCACAGAAACTGGTCCTATGCACCCACGATGGCTCCTGGCCGCGGAGGCGGGGGGTGACTGCAGCTGCCTCCTAGATATGTCTGCCGGTAGAGTTCCTCATGCAAAGACACACGGCGCGGCTCGGGGCTGCAGCTGGCAGTGAGCTCTTCCGAGCAGGCACGGGGCCCGCGAGTCCGGGAGGGCGACTCGGAAAGCACTTCTCAGGACGGGAGAGTTCCTGCACACACACCACGGGAGGGGGCGGGGGCTGGAAAAAGGCTCCGGAAGCCACAGGATCCGCCACGCGGCTGAACGTGGAAGCTGCCGCTTCGCTGAGAGGGGCCAGGAGCACCCCAGGATTCTAGAAAATACTCAAGTGATGGGCTGTCTGGGGCCTGGGAGGGAGGTCGCTGCTGGGCTGCGCTCAGCTTGCTGGCTCTTGTTTCAAGAAAGGTCTGGGGGCTATAAGGGAGTTACAAAAAGGGAGTGGAGGAGGCAGAGACAAAGGGAAAATCCATCTTGACATGCAGGTCCGAGGTCTCTCTCTTCCCCTCCCTCAGGCAGTCCAACAGGAGGAAACAGCAAACAACCAGAAGGCTTCCAGTCGGCCAGGGAAGGACGCGGTCACGCTGGGAATGGCTGGAGGGGGACAGATGTGACGCGGTCAGAGCACAGGTGGAGACCCCGGCTGCACCACACACTCTAGGCAGGAGGAGAGGCCCTCTGCCAGGGACCACGCCAGCTGTTTCAACGAACGTCAGTGCCACAGCCACACCGGAAGCATTCCGGACACTCAGGGCCACGTGTGGCTGGTGGCGCAGAGAACGCCGCCACGATCTAGAAGGGTCTGCAGTGCGGTGGTACATTGGGTATGAGGTTATGTTGGTGAAAAATCCACCTCAACTATTAAAAAAAGAAAAACAAGTAAATGAAAACTTGTTTTAAAAAAGAAAAGAAAAGACTGGTAGAAAAGGTGGCCGCAATATGAACGTCAGTTGCCCTGGGTGAAAAGACAGGTTGGGCTGAACGCGGGGCTCACACTTGCCATCCGGAACTTTGGAAGGCTGAGGTGGGAGGATCACTTGAGCCCAGGAGATTGAGGCTGCAGTGAGACGTGATTGTACCACTGCCCTCCAGCCGCGGTGACAGAGCAGGATGGTCTCAAAGTAACAACAAAAAAAGATTAAGGTTGTTCTTGCTGCTTTTTCACATGTTTGTCCTTTAAATTTGTCTACAGTAATTCTGGTTAAAAAATGAGAGTGTGTACACGAGGGACGGCCCCAGCAACGGTGACAAGATGAAGAGGCCACGTCGGAGCAGAATGGACACACCCTGGGAGGCCCGGAGCCACCCGCCCCAGGGAGTCGGCGTCTGCTGCGGATGGACAGGATGGACAGGGAACCCCGGGCCGGAAACCAAGCCAGCCACGGGACCCTGGAACCCATGGAGGACTCCGAGTGCATTTTTAAACAACTCTAAGTGCAAAAGCTGCTCACATCGAGAAGGGGACAAAAAAATCCCCCACAAAACATAGGCAGAACGCTCGGATGTGCAGTCAAAGGCAGGTCCGGGCTTGTCCTTTCCACCACCCGACAACCTGGCTCCCATCGCCCAGGTGGCAGCCCCGACGCTGCAGAAACCAAAAGCTTCTGCAGGGGGGACGCCAGACACCAGACCCCAGCCCTCCCAGGAAGCCGTGGCGTCCCCCTCATCTCCACCTAGCCCCGATTCACAGATGGGAAACAGGCGGGGGAGAAGGAGTTGGCGGCCACCTGGAAAGGGGTCCAATGCCCAGAGACGCCCCCACCTGCCTCAGCGGCTCAGGGCAACCTTCTGAGCTGGACGTGCTCAGGACTCACTGTCTAGTGCCCAGAGGGGCTCTACAGTCCCCAGGCAGCACTCCTGCTGGCCGCCCCCCTGCCCCTCAGCCCCGTGTACTCACGCGGCGTCACTCCTGCTGGTCGTCGTTGCTGGCGCTGGGCGTCCGACTCCGGATCTGGCTCCTGAGCTGCTCTATCAACTCTGGGTTCTGCTGCTGCATCTGCTGGGCAAACTGCTGACCGCTGTGGGGAAGGGCGCGCAGGGCTCAGCGGGGGCCAGAGCCTGCCGCTGCCTCCATCCATCGCCACCTGACCTCCTGACCCCTCCACCCCACAGACAGATCTGACTGCTCGTCAGAGGACGCCAGGCCCTCCGGAGCAGGGGGACGCCGCCCACATCCTCCTTGAAGCAGGTCCACTCACGCCTGGATGAGGCTGGCCAGGTCGTTCTGCGAGGGGCTGGTGCCAGGAGTTCCCAGGGGGTTGTGGCCGCCCGAAATCATGCCGGACATGCTGCAGGAGAAAGCGCGTGACCCGCAGCCAGGACGGCCCGATGGCCACCCCCACTGCAGCCCCTCAGCAGCGGCCGGGGAGAGATTCCCTCTCGGCTCTTCACCTTCTCGCACAGGAGAGGACTCTCTCTCACCACCCAGCAGGCCTCCCGGGCCCAAACCCACCCTCTGAGTTTCACCCGCTTTCCCACAACGCCCTTCCTTCTTCCGCCTAAAGACCATGGTTCTCAGCCAGGGGGTGATCCTGCCCCAGAGGACCCCTGCAATGGCAGCAGACATTTCCAACAGCCATGCCGGGGTTACGCCAAGACTGGGGTGGGGGGTGCTCCTGGTGTGCATCGAGTGGAGGCGAGAGACGCTGCTCAGCACCCTGGAGTGCCCAGGACGGCCCTGCCCCAGAGACTGGTCCAGCTCAAATGGCCACGGTGCTGTGGCTGGAAAACTATGCTTTAAGATTTGACCATGGGCCGGGCACAGTGGCTCACACCTGTGATCCCTGCACTTTGGGAGGCCGAGGCCAGTGGATCATCTGCGGTAGGAAGTTCAAGACCAGCCTGACCAATATAGAGAAACCCCGTCTCTACTAAAAATACAAAATTAGCTGGGTGTGGTGGCACATGCTTATAATCCCAGCTACTCAGGAGGCTGAGGCAGGAGAATCGCTTGAACCCAGGAGGCGGAGGTTACAGTGAGCCGAGATCGTGCCATTGCACTGCTTGGACAACAAGAGCAAAATTCTGTCTTAAAAAAAAAAAATATTTGACCACAGGCTGGGCAAGGTGGCTCATACCTGTAATCCCTGCACTTTGGGAGGCTGAGGCAGGAGGATCACCTGAGGTCAGGAGTTCAAGACCTCCTGGCCAACATGGTGAAACCCCGTCTCTACTAAAAATGTGAAAATTAGCCGGGCACAGTGGCGGATGCGTGTAATTAGAGATACTTCAGGAAGCCGAGACAGGAGAATCACTTGATCCCACGAAGAGGAGATTGCAACGAGCCAAGATCGTGCCATTGCGCTCCAGCCTGGGTGACAGAGTGAGACTCCGTCTCAAAAAAAACAAAAAAAGAACTGACCATGAAAATGGGTGAGCGGTACCCCAATAAGCACAGAGTTTATTCAGGGGCTACCTGATGAGCTAGCAATTGCACTCAGGTTTATACCCAAGAGAAACGAAAACAGAGATTGACACAGAGGCCTGCACACCCGCGCTCAGAGCGGCACCACCCATGGCAACAGAGGTACAGACAGCCCTGATGCCCATGCATAGATGCACGGATCAGCACAGCGTGGTCCAGCCACACTGGAATATCATTACTCAGCCATGAAAGAAGGAGGCCCCGACCCAGGCCCCAGCACAGATGCACCCTGAGGACACAGGCTCATGGGGAGATGCCAGATACAAAAGACCACGCAGTGTGTGATCCCGCTTCTGTGAAACTAAAGGACAGGCCCAGCCACAGAGACAGGAAGCAGACGCATGGGTGTCGGGATGGGACAGGGGTTGGGAGTGACGGCTGATGGGAGGGGGCTTCTTTCGGAGGCGATGCAGGGTGCTGGTGCTCAGTGGTGGTGACAGTTGCATGACAGTGTGAATGTCTTTAAGGCCATCAAGGACACTTTAAAATGTACACTTTAAAATGGACAGTTTCAAGTAAATTTCCCTGCAATAAAAAGACATTTAACCACGAGAAGACCCGAAGACATGCGGTTGTCACTTACAGCTGCTGAATTTGGGGATTGTTCATTAGGCTTGAAGCCTGCAGGAAAGAACACTTTGTCAGGACAGAAAGCTCCAGGCACATCCTTCTCTTTCATCATACACTCTGCATCTGAACTGGGCTTCCTTCCGGACCCCAGCACGCCGACACACGGTAAGAGCCGGCCACTGGGTCTTTCTTACCCTTTTTCCCACACTTTCGTCTGCCGACGCACGGGCTGTGACCTTCACGTTCTATTACTGACATCCTGTTTTGGGCTCTTGCTTTAGGGGCGATGTGGCAGCGCCACGGCGTTGTGTCGCTGGCTGCCGCCGTTTCGCCGTGTGGATGCGTTTTCGTTCTTTATCGTAGCTGCTGTCTACTTTAGCATATTTGGTTGGTTTTTACCTCTGCTGTATCAGTAAGCAGCAGCATGGCTGGGCGCGGTGGCTCACGCCTGCTATCCCAGCACTTTGGGAAGCCAAGGCAGGTAGATGGATTGAGGTCAGGACCTTGAGACCAGCCTAACCAACACGGTGAAACCCGTCTTTACTAAAAATACAAAATAAGGCAGGCGTGGTGGCGCGTGCCTGTAATCCCAGCTGCTCAGGAGGCTGAGGCAGGAGAATCACTTGAACCCAGGAGGTGGAGGTTGCCGCGAGCCAACCTTGTGCCGCTGCACTGCAGCCTGGGTGACAGAGCGAGACTCTGTCCCAAAAAGGATAAATAAAAATGACTGAATGAATAAACAGTACCGTATTGGGCACTTTCTCACGTTAACTTTCCACTTGGGATTGATTATTCCTTTGGACCTGTTGAAAGTGGGTGGCTCAGAGTTGTGGCAAACTCTCTGTGTAAAGGGAGTGTGTAAATACCCCCAGCCTTTCCAGACGGGGTCCCTGACCCAACTACTCAGCTCTGCTGCGGCATCATGAAAGCCACCACTGACACTACGTGTATGAATGGGCATGGCTGTGTGCCAATAAAACTTTATTAACAAAACCCAGTGGCGGGCCTTATTCTTCCAACCCCAGATGTCTGAAGGCAAAAGGAGTTTGTGCCATGGTGAGACAGAGAGGCCCCTTGAAGGGCTGGGGCCGCTCACCCTCCATCCCATGGTGAGTACAGGGGTCCTGGACCAGCTGGGACGTTTTTCTGACTGCCAGTGAGTCTGAGGGCTTTTCTCTCCCTAACAGCCTTAGGTGAGTCCCTGCCCCTTAAGGCGTGGGGGCCTGCAGTGTAGCCCCAGGGCACACCGACCTCTAGGGCACACAGGCACCACAGGGGGCTCTCCGAGGGTCCCAGCCAAGGAACCCTCTGCCACAGGCCACTCCTTTGAGTGCCAGGCATCGGGAGGCAGCACTTGCACCCGGCGCTCTGGTTCCTCGCCTGAACCTTGGAAGGGAGGCGCGGCTGTGCTGTGATCAGCGTCTCTGCACTGCGAGGAGGGACCCACACTGGGGCAGGGATGTGCTCTCCCTGGGTTATTCAGCCAGGAGAAGCAGCGCGCTGTTTTTGGTGCTCATTACTGATAGGTCTTGCTTGGGACATCAACATCGAGGACACTGTGATCGTCAAAGCTGAGGGCTGGGTGTTCCTGACATGGAGTGCTGGGGACAGCCCCACAGACAAGAACCATCTGGTCTCAGATGCCAGCAGTGCCGTGAGAGGGAAGCCCTGGCCCACAGCGCTGACGTAGCAGGTGTGGGCTGGGGCATGGCGGGGCCACCAGAGGGCAGGGAGGAGGGTGGGTGCTTACCATGGTCATGAAGCCAGGGTTGTTCAGCAGGCCGGCGATGTCGAAGCTGCCCGCGCCTCCAGTCTGGGGGTGAGATCAGGTGCCACGATGAGTAAGCCCCCTTGAGCCCAGAGACAACGGCCCCTCGGGGCTCAGACATTCTACCAGCCCTGCAGCCAGAGGCTGCTTTGAGACAGGCAGCACGCAGCGCAGGCCAACTGCGGGGCCAGCCCAGGCTACCACCCACACGTCTATTTCCTGTATTTGCCTGCTTTGACATCTTGGGGCCTTGCTGGCCTGGCAGAGCCGGCCCCTCTGGGAGTGGCCAATTCCCAGAGATAGCAAACGACTCCCCCAGGAACGCACTTTGAAATACAAACCCACCGACCTAGAACCCACACCCCTGGCACCTCTCCGATCACCCCAGAGCCACGATCCACCTGCCCCAGCCACCCCCAGCCAGGGACCAGACGACCAGGGCAGCCCCCAGGCCTAGGTCCAGTGAAACGGCTCCAACTGGCCAACCCGAAGCCTGCCCACCCAGCCTCGCCACAAAACCCACAGCAAGGGTCCGTCTGTGCCCCTCCCCACCTCCCGCCTAGCCCTGCAGCCGGCCTCCTGCTTCCAGCGATCTGGGAGCACAAACCCACTCCTCACAACAGTCACTTCCGGCCGGGTGTAGTAGCTCGCGCCTGTAATCCAAGCACTTTGGAGGCCAAGATGGGCGGATCACCTGAGGTCAGGAGTTCAAGATCAGCCTGACCAACATGGTGAAACCCCGCCTTAAAAAAAAAAAAAAAAAAAAAAAGTCACTTCCACAGGCGCGTCTCACCACCAACTGAAAACAGACCCTGGACCCTCACGACACCCAGGTTAAGCCGAGAGCTGGTGGTGCCCCTGAGGACCTGTCCCCGCCCGCCACAATCAGCCCTGCATTCTGGGGCCACTCGCCCCGCTGCACTCACAGGGCTGGGGGCCTCCCGCAGCTTCAGCTCCGCGATCTTGAGGTTGGACTTGTATGTCTCGTTGTCGGGGTCCAGCTCCAGGGCCTTCTTGTAGTAGGCCACGGCCTCCACGTGCTTGTTCAGGCTGGAAAGCGCCAGGCTGGGGAGAGCACCGGGGACAGACTGTTCCCATCTGCCCTGCTCTGGGAGGCCACGCCCAGGCCCCCATCCCCAGCAGCCTGGCAGCCCCTGCACACCGTCAACTTGGCGGAGGCAAACCTGGCTTTCAAGGGGGCCAGAGTGGGACTGAGGGAGACAGACACGAGAAGACCCCTGCGGCACAAGAACTGGTGTCCCCACGGGGCCACACAGGACTTCAGGGCCCGAGAGGGCTGAGGAGGGAGCAGGCAGGGGTGGGGTCACGGGAAAAGCGTGGATGTGGTCTGTGCCCCGCTTCCTGGCACAGGGCACCAAGGACCCTTGGAACCTCTGACGGACAGACATGTCTCCCGCCATCCACAAGCAGCCTGACCCCCACCTGAGTCTTCACTACTGAGGTGATTCGGGGGCCCCTACAGAGCCCAGGGTGGGTCCTGGGGAAACCAAGCAGGTGGACAGGGCCCCTCCCTCGGCCTCCCAGGTGACCCAATCACACAGATTTTCAGCAAGAGCGTTCAAAGCAGCAGGCAGAGGCACCCTAGTGCTGGGAGGGCAGCACTGGCCCCACGGGGCACAGGCTCCTGCCCCGGGGACCCTCCTGCCTCGCCCTCGGACCCCTCCTGTGACCTTCATCATAAACCAGGTGCTGCTCTCCTGAGCTCTTTGAGCTGCCCGTGCAAGCAACGGAGCCTGAGCGGGGCCTGTGGGAACCCCAGTGCACAGCTGGTCGGTGCGCAGCAAGGGTCCCGGGATCTCCAGCTGGCAGCTGATACGGGGTGGTCTGTGGGACTGCGCCCGTGGCCTGTAGGGGCCACGTTAGCTCAGAACGGCTAGTGTCGAGCTGAACCGACCGGGCTGGGAGAAGCGGGGCGGGTGTGGAAAAGGCCACACGGGAGGAAGCAGGAGCATGCAGGAGAGGAAGGGCCCGAGAGGGACTGGAAAGATGCCTGCGGACGGCACTCAGGCACTCACCCCATCCTGCCGTAGGCCTTGCTGTAGGCCGGGTCTATGCAGATGGCCCGCTCACAGTCCTGCACAGCACCCGCGTAGTTACCAAGTTTGCTGTAGGCCGCGGCTCTGGGGAAGAAAAGGCAGGGCAGGTACCTCACCAGCAGCTCTGAGTCCAGTGGGCGGCCCCGAAGGGAAGCCTCAGCGCTGCATTCCTCTCCCGCTTCCTGGAGGCACAGCCTCAGTTTCCCGGTCTGTAAAATGGGGCTGGTGGGGAGAGCTGAGAGGTGTGGCTGCTGAGGTGCTTTTAGAAAGATGCGGGCTCAGAGCAGCAACAGCCACTCGGGACTGCGGCTCTGGATTTTATTTACAAAAAACGTTCCGACCCACAGCTGTACAAGAGCAATGAGTGCAGGAAACGCACACCAGTTTTATCATCAAATTTACTGACGTATCAGTAAAAAAAGAGCTCAGACCAGGGCAGGGCGCAGTGGCTCACGCCTGTAATCCCAGCACTTCGGGAGGCCGAAGCAGGCGGATCACATGAGGTTGGGAGTTCAAGACCAGCCTGACCAACATGGAGAAACCCCGTCTCTACTAAAAATACAAAACTAGCCGGGCGTGATGGCACACGCGTGTCATCTCAGCTACTTGGGAGGCTGAGGAAGGAGAACTGTTTGAGCCCAGGAGGTGGAGGTTGTGGTGAGCCGAGATTGCGCCACTGCACTCCAGCCTGGGCAACAAGAGCGAAACTTGGTCTCAAAAAAAAGAACTCAGACCAATGTGAAGGCCCAAAGCTCTTGGCTTACGGCATCTGAATCGATTTCACCATTTTCGTGTTTACTGTTTCTCTTTACGATTTTTTCAAAGTACAGAGAAGCATTAAGTGGAGACCACCCTGACAGGCGGCCAGGAACCCCGCACGTCCGCTGCAACTGTTCTGTAAGCCTAAAAGAGATTCAAGATCGCAAGTTCAAGGAAAACATAACTCTCAACTCTCCATATTTTGGATTATTTTCCTGACTTGACATTCGCGTGGAATGCCATGACACCCGATTTTGTTTGTTTTTTTTTTTGGAGACAGAGTCTCACTCTGTCACCAGGTACCAGGTTGGAGTGCAGTGGAGTGATCTTGGCTCACTGCCACCTCCACCTCCCGGGTTCAAGCACTTATCCTGCCTCAGCCTCCTGAGAAGCTGGGACTACAGGCAGCGCCACCACACCCAGCTAATTTTTGTACTTTTTAGTAGAAATGGGGTTTCACCGTGTTGGCCAGGATGGTCTCGATCACGTGACCTCGTGATCTGCCCACCTCGTCTTCCCAGAGTGCTGGGATTACAGGCATGAGCCAGCACACCTGGCCCTGATTTTGTTTTTATGTACTTATTTATTTTTGAAACGTGGTCTTGCTCTGCTGCCCAGGCTGGAGTGCAGTGATGTGATCTTGGCTCACTGCAACCTCTGCCTCCTGGGTTCAAGAGATTCTCCTGCCTCAGCCGCCCAGGTAGCTGGGACTACAGTCATCTGCCACCAGCACAGCTAGTTTTTTTTTGTTTGTGAGACAGAGTCTGTCACTCAGGGTGGAGTGCAGTGGTATGATCTTGGCTCACTGCAACCTTTGCCTCCTGGATTCAAGCAATTCTCCTGCCTCAGCCTCCCGAGTAGCTGGGATTACAGGTACCTGCCATTACGCTAGGCGAATTTTTGTATTTTTAGTAGAGACAGGGTTTCACCATGTTAGTCAGGTTGGTCTTCAACTCCTGACCTCGGGTGATCCGCCTGCCTCGGCCTCCCAAAGTGCCGGGATTACAGATATGAGCCGGCATGCCTGGCCCTCAGACTAATTTTTTTACATTTTCTGTAGAGACAGGGGTCTTGATATATTGCCCAGGCTGGTCCTGAACTCCTGACCTCAAGTGATCCTCCCACTGTGGCCTCCGAGAGCACTGGGCGTGCCGCCTGATTTTAAGATCAGCATCGACTCTCTCTGACCCCCCCTGCTGGCCACCTGGGACTGCCGGTGAACCCCCATCTACCGTGCAAAGGCCTCTCCCACCTCTGGTCCTTGCTGAGCACCCGGGAGGCCGCCCCTGCACCCAGCCGCACTGCCCTGGGCAGGCCCTGAGCTGGTACCTGTTGCAGAAATAGACGGCGTTGGCAGGGTTGAGCTCGATGGCCTTTCCGTAGAAATGCACAGCCGCTTCAAAGTTTTCCACTTTCATCTGCTCATTTCCTAAAGAGAGAAAAACCCCGGGGCGTTCACAAAGACTGCGGGGCCTCGGTGCCACACACAGCTCTTCTGGGCGACTAGAATTCAACAGACGTGGGCTTGGGAGGCGTCTGCATCTATGGGGGGTTCTCTAGTCGCAAGTGGTCATCTCTGCACCCACTAAGGGAGACGGAGGTGGGGGCGGCAGGGCCTGGCCTGGCCTGTATCTGACAATGGTGGCTGTCACTGCCTGGATGGCGACGGCTGGGAATGGAATGGTTAATGCGGCTCATCAGCCCAGGGAGCGAACTGTCTCTTTTGCTATTTTTTTTGGAAAGAGCCCAGGTGGAGGCCTGTGTTCTAGAAGACTCGTGTGATGTCTTCTGATTTCACAGGCAATGCAGCTTCTAAGGTACAGCTGGTGGACGGTAAAAAGCCCAGCTGTGGCTGGGCACGGTGGCTTATGCCTGCAATCCCAGCACTCTGGGAAGCCGAGGTGGGCGAAGTGCGAGGTCAAGAGAGTGAAACCATCCTGGCCAACATGGTGAAACCCTGTCTCTACTAAAAAATACAAAAATTAGCTGGGCCTGGTGGTGCACACCTGTACTGCCAGCTACTCGGGAGGCTGAGGCAGGAGGATCGCTTGAACCAGGGAGCCAGAGGTTGCAGTGAGGCAAGGTCACACCACTGCACTCCAGCCTGGCGACAGAATGAGACTCCCTCTCAAA